TTGATACAAGAATAGGTTATAGTCTGTTTACACATTTTGTTAGGTTATTGTTCACTACTAAACAGAAACCTTTAGACTGAACTTAAAATACGTAATGAGGAAGCTTTCTGCTAATCTTAATTTAACAAAAGTTAGAAGGTTGAACCCTGAAAGACTTTAATGGAAATTGGATGTTAATGCCTGACCACAGTGCCTCCATAAAAAGCTTTGCTGTCACTGCAGACAAATGTGTACAGTGAAGTAAGGAGCAGCCTTTGTTCTTGCTGTTGTTGTTTATTTTGTTTTTATTTTTCCATAGGTCACTGGGGTATAGGTGGTATCTGTTTACATGAATCAGTTCTTTAGTGGTGATTTGTGAGATTTTGGTGTACCCATCACCCAAGCAATATACACTGCACCCTATTTATATTCTTTTTATCCCTTGCCCCCCCACAAGTCTCCAAAGCCCATTCTACCATTTGTGTGCCTTTGCACCCTCATAGCTTAGCTCCCACCTATCAGTCAGAATGTATGATGTTTGGAACATTTTTAATGGAAAAAGAAAAAGAATTATAAACAGAACTAAACTGGTGAAAATATTTGTTTGATTTCATACTATACAAATCACACTGGATCACACATGCTTATGAGTGACCATCTGATAATAAATTTTTATGGCCAAGAAATCTGTTAAAATTTGCAAGTTCCTATTGTCTAGTATACAGTCAGATCTTATCATGTCATTACCCATCTTAAACTTTCAAATAACTTTATCCTTTGGATAAAGTTTATACTCATAGTCCTTAGCAGTGAGAATAGTCCTGCATGATGTAGTACCTGCTGTTTTCTTCAGGGACTTTCCTGTTGTGTCATGTTCTATTGTGTCTTTACGTCTTTGCATTTGATGCACATTCTACAAAGAATGCTTTTTTTGTATCAAATCTAACTATGGTTGTCTTCCTGTGAGATTTGGGCTGCATTTATACTGTTTACATTGTGTGTCAAGTATGCCCTTCAGCTCACATCTTTGCAGATTGGGGAAGGTGGTACGGGTTAGAATAGCCCACGTGCAACTCCAAAGACCATGTGTAGGCAGAGGAAAGCTTTAGAGAATATTTAATACCTGCTTCCTTTTGGTTGTCCCTTTCCAGGAAGCCAAGGAGATGGCAGGAAAAACTGAGCCTCAGAAGGAAACTGCACCCTGCCCCCTCCTTCTTTTCTCAGTACAGAGGGAGGGACTATAAGAATCTCTGCTCATCTCCAAATGGCTGTCATGGTCCTTGTTCCTGTTTCCAAGTGTCTACTCAAAAAGGCATTTTCCCAGGGATAGGCAGAAAAGTTCTCAAAGCACATTTGCATGCCAGGGTCTGGCCCTCAACAATTACTTACGGTTGGGCTGGCCTGTATGTGGATTCAGAGTGGAAGCAAATACTACCCTTCCCTTCCCTATGGCAGCTTTTCCATTTTCTATTGCTGTGAGATCAGGTTGTAGGATGAGGTTCAGGCAGTGATTCCTTTCCTAGTAGGCCTTTATGATACTCCACTCAGTTTCCACAGCAATTTGTTCTAGTCATTTAGCAGAAATATATTCGGCATCTAATACATGGCAGGCACAAGCCTGGTGCTGATGACATGGTGATGGTCAATACCTAACATCAAGGTCAAACTGAACAGGCGTAGTCAAAAAACTTTGAACCAGTGCCGAATTTCCAGTGTGGGGAGGTGTTTCCAATCCTGTGCCACACAGCATACTTTTTCCGTCCTTTATAGTTCCCATGCGCAAAACACTCTTAGACATGGTAGATACATTAGTAGGTGCAGTAGATACATCACTATTTAGTGCAAATATCAATTTCATGAGATAAGTATTAATATACCTAATTTAAAGACAGGAAACAGGCCTGGAAACAGGAGATCAGGTAACTTACCTACAACCTGAAACATGGCTGATGATCTCTCCACTACTCAGGGTTGCCCAGTCTATGACCCTACGAATAAGAAAAGAATTGTTAAAGATAAATTTGATGAAGTTGTTGTAAATAATAGTGTGGTATATTTTAAATGTATACTTCTATACCTATATTTATGCATATGCAATATACTAAGTATAGATGAACATATACTTAGGCACACACAATATACAGTACCTGTAGGCATATATGAGTATGTGTGAGTGTGCATATGTATGTGTCTTCAATTAAATTAAGTAATTTCAGGGGAAAACCAAATTCAAAACTGTGCTTACAATTTATTTAATAACAAATGGTGATGAAAGCACCATAATGATTTATAGGATACAACCTGACTTATATTTAGAGAAAACTTTACACTGCTTAGTCAATGCAAGAAGCAAGAAAAATAAGACAATAAATATAAGTAAAATAAATCAATAAAAAATAATAAAATAAAATCAGAAAAAAATTGAAATAACAAATTATTAGTTTCTTTGGAACAATCAACTAGACAAATCTTTGGAAAGAAAGATATGTCTTTCAGGAGAAACAAACATAAGTAGTGGTAAATACATAACATTAGGAATTAGAATCAAGAAAAAGAGTAGAGACAAATAAAAATAAAATAATAATTTGTGTAATTATTCATAACCATGGAGACATTGATACTTTGAGAACAGTAACTTACTTAAACAGATTCGACATTTAAAGAACTTGAATTAGACATCAAATACAAGGACTTATAACGCTACTTTTTTTTGTTTTAGTCTAATTCAATTCTGATATCAAAAACAGAACAGCTTTTTCTGCTTCCGACCATATTAAGGTCTTGCTGTTAGTTGTGTGTAACTATTAACAGTTGCTATTGTAATATACATCCATATTCTGATGTATACCTTTAGTTATTTTTTATGTCTCTGTCTCATGTACACACATGCATACATATATGCTGCTACATTCCTGTCCATGACATCTCACACTGAAATTGCCCCACCATATCCTTGCTAGATCTTCCTATTACTGTTCCTTTCCTCTACTTCTGAAATTGTTCTCTCTTTTCTACCTCCTGCTTCTCAGTTTCTTGGAAGACTTAAACCTTAATATATACTCTAGGTGAGAACCTCGACCCAGAAACACTTTCAGAAATGCTCTCCACCTCCTCTAGACAGAATTTTATGTTTTAATTTCTAGACTCACGTCCCCCTCCATCCCTTACCTCCTTCCTCTGACAAAATGAAAGTGATAACAAAGTCCTGCAGCTTTGCTGCTCTGGGCTGGAATTTCCTCTCTCTTAGCCAAGACTAGCACGGAGTAGATGGGGAAGGGAAGCCCTAACTTCTCCTACTAGGACTCCTGGGAGCTGTCAGCTTTGCCTTCTGAAAACTAAAAACAATCTGGAATAGAGGAAACAGGAGGTATTAGCTCCATCATAAGAGGTCCAATAGGAGACTTTCAAGGTGGAGCAGGGTATCTACTCATGGCCTAGGCTATACTCCTAGCCTCCTCCTTCTACCCCTAGCAGGTTCTCCTGCTGACTGACATCCCACTACTGCTGTTTCTTCCCCTTTAAAGCCTTCAAGCCTAAGATTACACAAAACTTATTGAGGGTGTGGCTCATATCTCCTCAGAGAGGGTAAGAAAAGAAAATTAATTAGGGGTCTCTGAGAAAGCAGGTTGTATGACATGCAGTCTCTGGTCTCTTTCCAGAAAATCAGGCCTGATTCATACTACCACTTTAATTCCTCCTTAGTCCTACTTCTTCAGTGCGTATATCTCTGTCCCTGTTCCCCAAAGAGTTCTCAGTTCTATGTTCTCCTTTTATGCTACCCTCCCCTAGAGTATAGATGGGCACCATCCTCAGCCAGCCTTACATCTGATTGTCCTGGTCTATATTGGATTCAGGGTGGAGGGTTGGGGTCTGCAGCTACAGCTGTGGAATTTGTCCAAGACAAAGCCTCACCTAGACACACCTGTCTCAGCTCAAACAAATAAACAAACAAACAAAACACTCTGAAGACACCTGTAAATGAAAGCTTTACAGAATTCTACAAATGGGAAGTAGGCCTTGGAAGTAGACTGATCTGTCTCCAAAAGCCCTCTGTCCAGCCTTCCCGGAATGAACACAATCCCCAACCCCAGCTACCCTGACTGGCAGGATTGACAGTCAATCACAGTTACAAATTGCACCTAACACATGAAAATAATCTCCCCATTAATTGTATTAACTTCACAGATATTCCAGAGCAGTACAACCAACTCGACCTTCAGCTCCTTAAAGGTGGAGCCTTTCAGAATTTTAACCATGGCCTGGGCTCAGACATTGGGAAGACCATTCTGGAATGTCTGTCCTAACAGTTTGGAACTGAACTTCCATCGGAGGATTTCCTGGTTATTTTCTATGTGAATAGGAGGTGCCGTCACTTGCTTATTAAGTAAAGACCTAAGTGTCAGGAGAAGGACAGGGTACTGGGAGTACAATGAAAAACTCAAATCACTGTCTTAAATAATAGTTTCTGTGTGTGTGTGTGCATGTGTCTATGCGTTTGGGTGAGGGAGGGATACTAGTTGTTTATATTTTTTTCTCCTTTTTTAAAGACAGTCTTTGACCAGGGTTTCCATTTCTCCCAATCTCCCGGTCTCTGTGGTCTCTGTAACTTCACAAGTGGATTGTGGCAATCGTGATGACAAGCTGCTTGCTGAAGTATTGAAGGCTAAGACTATGCCAGGAAAAAAGAGAGGTTTTTTTTTTATGTTTGTTTGGTTTGTTAGTTTTTTTGCCTGGAACCATGAGAGGTCGCAAATCTTGCCAGGAACAGCAGAGTTTACACCACATGTGTGCCCAAACCTGCGCTAAGTTGGGTCACAGAACCGGACTTGGCCAATCTCAGGCTGCTGAGTTTAACAAGGCAAACTGGCAAATGTATAGCCACCTGAGCCTCAATTAATGCAGGGCCTGAGCGGCGTCATTCCGGAGCCTCAATCCTTTGACCTATCCTGGAACTAATATCTGGTACCCTCTACAGTTTAAGGGGACCTGAGTGGGTGAAGGGACCAGAAAAACCCAGGAAGTAGAGAAAAAACATTGACGAGCCGGGAAGCGGCTGAGCCCCCGTCTCATCACCAATTGGCTAAGGTTATCCAGGTCCCTGCCTGTGATTGGCTGGCCTCACAAAGACACCGCCTCCCTGGCGAAGCCGGCCCTGCGGACGGAGCCTGGAGCCGGGTGTAATATCCTAGGAGCTGCGAGCTACCGGGCCTGCGCCGCCGGGCACTGGGGTTTGGGCCTGGGGCGCTCTCTGGCCGTAGGTGCTGAGCTGCCGGGAACGGCCGCTCCTGACGCTGGGCCTCTGGACGCCGCGGTACCTGGCTTCTTCACTTTGAGTTTCCGCCGCGAAGCGCCAGTCCGGGCCGAGGAGGGAGGTGGGTAGAGAACGCTGCCTTTTCTGAAGTCAGATCCTGCAGGCTCACTGTAACCTCACCCGCCACTGCCCTGGGGACCTGCCCGGCGCCCTGTGGCCAGGCCACGAGCTTAGTATCCCCAGCTGCTCCCTGACCCCGAAGGTTACCGCCCGCCCCCGACCCCCTTCCCACGGGGTCTTCCTGGAAGTCTTCCAGGCCCCGCCCCCTCCTCAAATGTCCTTCTCAGACTGGCGCTTTACCCATGGAAGGCACAGTCAAAGCAACCGTACGTTTAATTATTTGAGTTTTCTCAAAGTAATTCATGTATCATAAAAAGTGAAACATTAAAGCAGGTCGTATTTAGAAGAGCAATGCCTGCCCATCCCCAGATGGTTGCAGAGGATGCCACTTTGAATTTTTCCACGTATAGATGTTTTTATGACCCTAAATCAAAATAATATGCTTTCCACTGGATTTCTGGATTTATCATTTTGGTGTTTCTTTGCCGTGTCAATTTTCCATCGCTATTTTAGGTCTCATATTTGTAGCTTTAAATAATAGGTATCTGATGGTGGTTCTTAATGTCTTCTCTGACTTAGCTAAGGATATTAACATATCCTCCACTTTCAGTCCACCTCAACATTTACATTTAGTTTTACATTCAGTTGGACCTCAACATTTACATTTAGTTTTCACATACTCAGCAAGTATCCGAGCCACTGTTCTTGGCACTGGGGAAATAGAAATGAACAAAACAGAGAATGACCCTTTCCACATGAAAAAGTTCCAGTATGGGAAGTAAGACAATAAACAAATACACGGCAAATGATGTCAAAAGCAGGATCATGTAGAAGTCACTTCCAGCTGGGAGAATAGCAGGAACCCAAATCAGGTAGATTGAATGGACGACGGGTTTTCAGGAGTGTGTGGAAGATTATTCCTTTGCGTAGCTGGGCACAGGTGGTGTTTCAAGGGTAAAGGGAGAGAGCTTCCTAACAGGGAGCCAGGATAGACTCTTTAGTAAGTTAGTGATTTACCAAAACGAGGTTTTAGGATACTGGATCCCACAGTTTGGTAGTGATAGTGGGAGGAAGAGAAGCATGAGTCAGGGAGTCTAGTGAGAAGGCATGCCCTGCCAATGGCATATCACAGGGTCCTGAAAGATTTACTGCTCTGCTTCCTGCTTCCTTCCACTGGACTGCCCTAAACCACAGAGATTTCTCTCTCTCCTTTTGAATTTATATTATACTTTGAAGCTAAAGAGGTTAAGAAATTTGCCCAAGATAAAATGGCAGAGCCCCAAGCCAAATCTTTAAAATTAGAAGAATAATGGCCTCTGCCTAGGGTTGTGAAATAAACAAACTTAATTCATGTAAAATGCTCAGAACAGTGCCTGGCACATCATGTAAGTGCTCAAAGAATGCCTGCTTTTATTATTCATGTATGCTCTGAATTTACCTAACAAATTATAAAAGGATTTGGGGTTGAGGAACTATTTTCTATGTCTAGCTGGTTTATTCAACAAATATTTACTCAAATATCTGCATTGCAGGTGCTGTTTAGGTGCTGAGGATACTACAGGAACTAGGAGCAACATGGCCCTTCCTTGTATAGACTCTAGCTGGTAACACAAACTAGCAAAGTAAATGAATAAATACTGCCAACTAAGCTGAGAGCCTGCCATTGATCATACAAGTTCCATGCCTATATGTGGCCCTGGCAAAAATCCCAGATTTCTTGCTGGAATAGTGACTTCATCAATATGGGTGTGATGATCATCAAATGATCTTTGTTTTAATCTTCCAAGGGATGTTATTTCATCTCTGCTTCTAACATATCACTAAAAGCTCAGTATCTTGGCCTCTTGGTGAATAATAAGTATCTTAGCGCTGGAGAAATAGACAGGGGTTTAAAAGGCTTAGGGAAACTGCTATTTCTTTACAATTTTTACATTTTAGTGTGCAACACAAGAAAACAAATTGAGCATGTAGGCTATGGGCTTCTGGCATACTACCTTTTGACACTATAAATTATATAAATGTAAATATAAACATACCACAGAGTGAGGCTGGAGGTATTTATGGCCTTCAGATACTGAAATACCACGTTTTATGTGACCTTACTCAAGTTTAAGAGAAACAATGCTGATTTTTAGAGCATGATTGGAGTGGTAATGGTCTAGTAGAGTGAACCCAGAGGAGAATCAGGGTTGACCAAGTGAATGAAAACAGGACTCCCAACATTCACTCACTTAGACATCCCCATGATCCCCTTCATGGTATGAGTAATGTGGCCCATTGGACCATGCACCTTTCAGTTGGAAAGGTGAATGCTTATTAAAGAAGGTCAAAAGGAAAGTGGATTTTTTTTAGAAATTAGTTACTGCTTTTACTGATCTCTCTGTTCCTCTGTTATCTTTTTCTCTTATTTGTCTTTCTTTTCATCTAGCCTTTACTACCCCTCCCTGGTTTCATTCATGCTCTGAGGAGGGTGTGAGAAGGAACCATGGATCCCACAGCCTTGGTGGAAGCCATTGTGGAAGAAGTGGCCTGTCCCATCTGTATGACCTTCCTTAGGGAGCCCATGAGCATTGACTGTGGCCACAGCTTCTGCCACAGCTGTCTCTCTGGACTCTGGGAGGTCCCAGGAGAAACCCAGAACTGGGGTTACACCTGTCCCCTCTGTCGAGCTCCTGTCCAGCCAAGGAACCTGCGGCCTAATTGGCAGCTGGCCAATGTTGTAGAAAAAGTCCGTCTGCTGAGGTTACATCCAGGAATGGGGCTGAAGGGTGACCTGTGTGAGTGCCATGGGGAAGAGCTGAAGATGTTTTGCAAAGAGGATGTCCTGATAATGTGTGAGGCCTGTAGCCGGTCCCCAGAACATGAGGCCCACAGTGTTGTGCCAATGGAGGATGTCGCTTGGGAGTACAAGGTGAGAGATGGAAGCTGGCCACTCCAGTCTTCCCTGGCCCCCAACTTGGCTATTTCTAGATCAAGGGCTTGACCACCAGCACCACAGACTGAGAGTTGACTCCTTTGGTTCCTGACACCCACAGATCCCTGGAATCGGATACAGGGAGCTATACCTTTCCTTGTATTCATGACCTTTCTTGATTTCTTGCCCTCCAACTTCTTCTACACCTTATCCCAGATCCTAACATGCATGGCTCAATGCCTAATCCAAGGGTGATTTCACTACTGAGAATGTGAAGAAAAAGCAGTTTGGTTTTAACTGAGATTCTGGATACCTTGGATGAGTTTGAGGGTGAGGCTCTGATAGAGATGGTCAAGGCTGTACCTGACCTGCAAAATTCTCCTAGCAATGCTGCAAGTAGACATTTGGCACTGAGTTGGTCACTTGACTCCTTCATTTTATAGACAGAACTAAGGCTTAGAAAGTTGAAAACATGGTAATTTATTTTGGAGGTGGAAAGAACCATGGGCGAGTCACAGGATTGAGAGAGGTCATCTAACATAATCTTCTCAGGTCCTTTCTGTCTTGAAGTTCAGTTAGTGAAAGGGAGATCAGAGGCTGTGACTCAAGTCTTCTTGCTCTTTGTTCAATGTTCTTTCTCCTCTCCCAAGTTTGTTTGACAAGTCATCTCTGAAACACCTGGGACTCCTTTTTTGTAGGTAGGTAACCTCATCAAATCTCAGCTTCTGGGCCTCTCTTTACTGTTTCCTCAGGTAAATATGCATGTGATACTTACAGTCCCCTGAGGGATTATCTCAGTGGTTCTGTTATCCAGTGATCCAGCACTAGTCTTCTTTTTTTTTTTTTAAGTTGAAATTGGAAAGTGAGAGTACAAATCCTCTGAATTAGCTTTTCCTATATGGGAAGGATTCTAAAATATGAAAAGTATTTACTAACTCTGCTTTTGAGAATATTAGAAAAGGGAGATAGTGTAACATAGGGGTAAAGGGCTGGATTAAATCCCAGCTCAACCATTTATAAGCTGAATGACTTTGAGTAGGTCACTTTCTAAGCCTCAGTTTTCTTGTCGATAAAATAAGGTTAATACCAGCCTCAGGGGATTGTACGTATCACATGTATATTTAGAGCTTAAAATATATCTGGCACTTGATAAATTTTAACAAAATAGTTACTATTTTGTTAAAATATCATAATTAAGTGGTATATCTGCACACTTTATGCTTTTCAGTAGAAATCCCTTGCATTACTATTCTAGGAAAGTGCTTCTTACCCCTAATATGCATTTGAACCACCTGGGACATCTGGCTAAAGTTGAGATTCTCATTTGGTAGGTTTAGAGTAAGGCCAAGATTCTGCATTTTTAACATGTTCCTACATGATGTGGATGCCACTGATCCACTTGAACCATATTTAGAGTAACAAGGTTCTAGCAGACAGTAAGATAAAAATAAGTAAGATAAGGATAAAAATCAGCATGGAAAGGAAAGTCCAAGGTACTTTTCTGGAGAGGTTGGAAATCAACCCTTTTTTCCACTTTACAGACATTTAGAGACTATAGGAGTTGAAATGAGCCTCAGCCCAGAGACTACCTTGGATGTCACTTGGGCAGAGTCTGCTTCCTCTGTGGCATTCTCTTCCCCCACAGCCTTCACTATGGCTGGTTGCCTGAAGGACTCTGGTTCTCTCCCATAGCCTGCCAATGCTAGGAAGCCTAGGCTGCTGCAGGCGGCCTCATGAGGTTTTTGTCTCTTGCAGTGGGAACTTCATGAGGCTCTCGAACATCTGAAGAAAGAGCAAGAAAAAGCCTGGAAGCTGGAAATTGGCGAGAGGAAACAAACTGCCACCTGGAAGGCAGGTTGCTCGCGGGGAAAGGAGTTCGTGTCAGTCGTCCTGTGTGGTCCTGGAGCTGGCCTGGGGGTAGCATTCACATCTCTGTGAGGCAGAATGTGATGCTTAAAATCAGAGAGCCTGGGGTTCTAATCCCTGCCTTCTCTGTACCAGGCCTTAAGTAGTCCACATCACCTCTTAATTCCAGTTTCTTGATGGTAATATAGGGATAACCTCTGGTCTTGTATGTGTGTCAGCTTACAGTGGCATGGCTTACATCATGCTTAGTAAGTAAAGCAGAGTTTCTCTTTGACTTTCCCAAGTTAGAGCATATTTGGTAAGAGTTTGGTTATTAAAATATTGGAAAATCACCTCTGAAATAAATTTGAGGCCAATAAGTATCAAACTACTAGAACTTTTGGTCAACAGAAAGTAATACCAAAGGAATCTGAAACAGCACATTGAACAGCTATAATATCAACATGAAAATGAACCACCTAACTGTGTAGTTAAGTTACACTGCCTTAAAGACTTAAATGTAACACATCGTGTCATTATTCTCAAAATGGAAAACAGTCTAGAGAATGCAGTACTAAGATAATATCCTGTACCCTACTGGAATTAATGAGCTTGGCAATAGAGACCTAGATGCATGTGGTGGAGCTGGGAGAACAGGAAGCTAGGACAAATAGTATCCTTTATCTTTGCCCCTGCATAGCCTGTCACGTGGTTGGTACCATTGCAGAGTATGTGTGTAAGTGTATGTCAGTATCCTCGATACTGGGTGACAAAGTGTCAGCGCTGATTTCAATCTTGACTCCACAGATACAGGTGGAAACTCGAAAACAGAGTATTGTATGGGAGTTTGAGAAATATCAGCGATTACTAGAGAAAAAGCAGCCATCACGTCGGCAGCTGGAGGCAGACGTAGCAGCAGCTCTGGCCAGCCTACAGCGGGAGGAGGAGGAGACCATGCAGAAACTGGAGCTGAACCGTAGTGAGCTCATCCAGCAGAGCCGAGTCCTGTGGAGGATGATTGCAGAGTTGAAAGAGAGATTGCAGAGGCCTGTCCGCTGGATGTTGCAGGTGAGGAGTAGGTTTTCCTGGGGACCCTGAGTGATGGCTGAAGATAGACTGAAACTCAGGAGACAGCATCAGTTAGTCTTCAGTAGGGACTGTCAGCACTCAGCACTCTTCTAGCTGGTCATGGATCCTGTATTTCCCCACCTAATACATGCTATTTTCCTATCCCTGGCTGGTGGATGACCTGGTCTGTTGTAGCGTCATAGGTGGGGCATTGCTCAGGCAGCTCTGGTGTCATTCCAGCCCCTCTCCTCTAGCCCAAGAGTCTTGAGATGGAGCCTGAAGTTGACCAGTCGAGCCAAAGCTTGGCCTGCTCTTCCATCCTTCCCGTAGGCTTCTCTTCCACCTCTGCATGGCATCTCTCCATTCTTGGTATCTGTCTCCCTTCCCGTAGAGAAACTCCCTGCCAGAGTTCGATGACTGTTCCCTCTGAGGAACAGCACATACTCAGTTGCTGCATTTTTTTTCTCTTTTTCCAGGATATTCAGGAAGTGTTAAACAGGTACGTTCTCACCCTTGGAGCTTCTAGGCAGCCCTGCGAAGGACAGTGGGGCCTGGCTAGAGCCAGAAGTAGGGACGGAGCACAGACTCAGTACACATAGAAAAGCAGGTGCTAGTCCAAAGTCTCATCCCTCTTGCATTGTACTGGCTAAGGAATCTTTGTTGATCTTTCCTTTTTCTTCTTTGTACTTGATCAAATGTATATCAAGTGAAGCAATAAAATATGTGGTTTCAAGTAGATTGCTCAAAGAGGAAAAAAGACTGCCCATGACTCCTGCATGTCCAACAGAAAATGTATACACTTCTTCCTCTCCCAGAATCAAATACACATCCAGCCCTTCCCACAGTATGGACATGTGAGTGTTCTCACCTCTGCACACAGTTTGAGGCTCAGCCAAATAATCATCATGTCTCTGCTTTGCTGGGGTGGGGCACTTCACTACCTCCCTGGCCAAGCCCCTCTTCCTTGTACTAAGATAAGGCCCATGTGGCAAAGCCAGGACTCCTGGCCCTGAGGTTCACCCTACTCTACCAGGAGCAAGTCTTGGAGCCTGCAGCAGCCAGAACCAATCTCCCTGGAGTTGAAGACAGATTGCCGTGTGCTGGGGCTAAGAGAGATCCTAAAGACCTATGCAGGTAATGGATGCTGGGGGAGACTATACTGGGCACCCAGAGAAATAAAATGGTTCAGTGCCCTCTGGGTACTCTATCCAGCCTCACTTTCACTCATCATTGATAAATCTGTGGCTGTATTTATCAGAGAGACCTCACCCCTGCCCCCTAGCTTTATATCACTATTACCAACCAGGACCTTTTTTTTTTGTTTGTAGCTGACGTGCATCTGGATCCAGATACTGCTTACTCCCGTCTCATTGTGTCTGAAGACAGAAAATGTGTGCACTATGGAGACACCAACCAGAAACTTCCTGACAATCCTGAGAGATTTTACCGCTATAATATTGTCCTGGGCAGCCAGTGTATCTCCTCAGGCCGGCACTACTGGGAGGTGGAGGTGGGAGACAGGTCTGAGTGGGGCCTGGGAGTATGTAAGGAGAATGTGGACCGGAAGGAGGTGGTCTATTTATCCCCCCACTATGGATTCTGGGTGATAAGGCTGAGGAAGGGAAATGAGTACCGAGCAGGCACCGATGAGTACCCACTCCTGTCCTTGCCAGTCCCTCCTCGCCGGGTGGGAATCTTTGTGGATTACGAGGCCCATGACATTTCCTTCTACAATGTGACTGACAATGGCTCCCACATCTTCACTTTCCCCCGCTTTCCCTTCCCTGGGCGCCTCCTGCCCTATTTTAGTCCTTGCTACAGCATTGGAACCAACAACACTGCCCCTCTGGCCATCTGCTCCCTGAACGGGGAGGACTAAGAGAGCTACCAGCCTAAGGAGAGGCCTTGGAATTGGGGCTAGCCCCCACGGGGCTTGGAGGACCCAGCCACTGACAGGTATCCCCTCAAACTGAGCTGAGCCCAGAATCCAAGTATTCCTCTGTCTAATCCTTTGGTTTCTTGCTATCAGGCTAAAGTCTGTCATGAAACCACTTATTTAAAAAAGCACAGGCCCAGTCAAATGAGCATTGTACCCCATAAGGGAAGCATCAGGGCTGATGGTGAGGATCAGAGCATGTCTAAGGTGACTTGCTGGGGTAAGGATCTGGGTTTTGTCCATTTGGTAGCCCACACCCCTCTTCCCTGATTCCTGTCCAGTGTCACAGTTAAGTCATTGAAGATGATGAAGTCAATACAATCTTCAGGACAACATTAGGTAGGCTTTCCCAGTAGGCCAAAAAATAAATAAATAAATAATGCTGCCCATACCCAGAGCTGGTTGTTGTGCTGAGGGCAGTCAGAGGAGACTTCCCCTGAGGTTTACTACAACTAAGCAACCTTTATGTGACCCTCACTCTCTGACCTCCTGGTGAGAGAAATTCAGTGCAGCAGGGGACACAGACCTGCCCAGACCACCCCACCTCCATTCCCTCTTGAGCACAAGCTGGGCAAATCACTGTCCCTCGGACTCCCAGGAGACCAGTGTCCTAGTCCTGCTTTTTTTTCTCAAGTGGCAGGATCAGAAAACCTGTGAGCCTTAGTTTGTATTTTCACTTTGTGAATGAGGAAACTGAAATGGCCTTAATGAAGCAAGTTATGTTTTACAAAGCTGTTGAAGATAAGATTATAAAAACTATAAAGCATTTTTCACACTCAAACAAGGTTGACAAACTCACTTCTCAGATCACATGTTTCTACATCATTTATTACATTTGAATCCGAACTATCTCACATGTTAAGAAGGTTTTATGTGTCCTTATTGGGAAAATGAGTGTAATTCAGCATAAAACCTCATATTATTGTCCTGCCTCGTAGAGTTGTTATATAGATCCCAGATGCATCCCATGCGTTTGTTCCTTTCTGAGGCACAGAGGAAGGCAAGCTGTGGATTTTGCACGTGGTGACCTTCCCACTGTGCCATGATACAGCCTGCATCTTACAGCAGCGCCTTTGTCTCAAGGCCTCTCCTGACAGTCTAGAGAGCCTTTTGGGCAGAAAGGTGCTTCAAATGGCTGTGATAAGGACTATTAAAAATTGTGTTTCTACTTTAATTGTATTGGCTATTCATGTATGTAGGAATTAAAACAGGCCAAACTGGAGAAATAAACTCATTCTGCTCACCGTGCTTCCAGGTTGCTTCTTGAGAATTGCAGTAGAAGGGGAGGTTTCCAGCAGCTGCTTGGAGGGGAATGAGCTGGTGAGTCACAGACCCTGGTGCTGGCAAAGGGTTGAGCCTTCCTTTGTTAGAGGAGTATCTTTGTCAGGGGATGCCCTGGCAAAGGGATAATTGAGAAGTAGGTCCTTAGGAAGGACTTCAGTTATGTCTGTGGACACTTGGCACAAAGGATTAAGAGAAAATCAATGTTGTTCTTTCGCTATTAGGACAAATCTTGGAAGTTTCCTTGAAACAGAGGATCGTTAGGTGATAAATTCATTCAAACCTAGGATGAAGGAAGGAATGAAATGGTCTCATTCATAATATACTCTTTTTTTGGTTAGTTTTATATATTTATTTATTTCCATTTATAAGCCTGTTTGGGCACCCTGCTTATTTGTTAGAAGAGTTATAAGGTTAAACAATGCCACATTATTACAGATTGTCTGATTTTTAAGACCAGACAAGAAGATTGAAGCTCTTAAGTGACTGAAAACCTTTTCTACAGAGTTGTTTACACTTCCCTCCTGAGAACCATATGAAAACAAGGACCTTATTTGTCTGTTCACCATTGTAGCCCTAGCCTAGTACTGTATGTGTGTGTATTAAATATTTAAGTGAGGGAACTTTCATGTGACTAGAATCAAAACAAAAATAACCTGCTTTTATCTTAAAGGAACAGTAAAAACTACAGGATACCTAATTATATTCCTGTTCAAATATGAATTTATTGGAAAATTTCTTTTACTGTACCTTTCATAAGTCATCCAGTAGGACAGGAGGCAGGTGGCCGTGTGGAGGTGGAGAGACTGCACTGCTCTCTGAAATGCCTAGGGTGGCATCCCTAGTTTGGTCCAAGCATTCACTGCAAGGCAGGGAGGAGCTTTGCCTACCCTTGTTTTGTAGAGAAACTGAGGGATGCAATACCTGAGCCTTATGGGAGAAGGCTGCAAAGAGGGTAAAATGCCTGGGTACTGCAACAAGAAAAAGACATAGGGGCAAATCCTTCAGTTCAAAACTACCTACAGAAATGCAGTCTTCATTTTTTCAATCAAGATTGGTTGTAATCTCTTAAAATCTAAACATGAAGGGGCTACTGTGCATCCCAGGCACTAATTAAGAGAGCACACATTGCTTCACATGATGGGCCAGGACCATGTCTGAATGTAAGGTGAGAAGCATAGGATTTCCCAATCGGCATAGCCATGGAAAGGAATCAGCACACTTCGGGAAGTATGCGGTTCAGTAAATATTTGAGTTCCAGCAGTGGGTTCCACCTAGTTTTAGGGAAAACCAATGAGAATGAAACACAAAGCTGGTAGGGCAAGCTTCCTGATGGAAATGCTGTGGAGAAATTACTGTTTGGGGGGCAGGCTGGACTATACCTTTGTTGCTTTACATCAGATTCTTTAATACATCCAATATGCTTTCATTTAATGGACACAGCCAATTTTTCAGGTTTCTTATGGAGAAAGAATAATGTGACATTTCAAAATGAAAATCTTATCAAATGTGTTTAACAACCTTATAATCTCATCTTTATGTTAGGGGGTTTTGAGGAAAAAAAAAATTCCACTTTACTGCTCTTTGGGAACTCAGTGCATCATTAACAGATTTTTAAAAGGCTGATTTCTACTCTGCTGGTGTTCAGAAATTGAATACATTGTTGGCAGGTAAACAAGTCAAATATTAGCAAAAGGTATAGATGTTAAGTTACTAAGTAGCTTGTCTATTTGAAAGAGTTGTCATGTAAGTACTGGTCTGTATGACTACTCCCTTAAAATTATGGAATTAGAAATGTATTGGGTATATTTTTAAGTTCATACAATATGTCAGAGATTGTGTTATCTGCTTTCCATGTTTCATTTATTTAATCTTTAATACTCTAAGAATTAATGTTTTCTCTATCAGTAGGCAGGAAGTGTTAAGAGGCAGATATAATAACTTGCCCAGTTTCTTCTTGCACTTTGAATTTTAACACTATTAGGAAATTATCTTTTTATTAAGATTTTCAAATGTACCAGAGTTAAATACATATTTCTCTTATACGTGAGATCTTTTTCTTCTAACATAGACTGATTACTCAGTTCAGGACTTTCTGAAGGGGAAAAACAAAACCAAAAATCATGTAAGCATTCAGTGACCCGGAGAATAGTGGTCACATTTCAACTTCTTTATCTGTATTGCTCTCTGTTAACCTCTTCATCCCAGAGCATACCCCCTCAGAGGTGCCCACAAGAAGAAAGACCTGTGTGTATTTGATCCCCACCTTCTATGCCTAAGGTTGATTTACATAGACCAGGACTAGGAAGCAACAAGAAAGATTTCCAAAAGCAAACTTAGTTAGCTTCTGTTCCTTAAAAACAAAAAGCTGGTAATTGGTATACTAACTCCAACTAGCTCAACAATAGGGGATACATTTAAAAGTTTAGTGGTATTTTACAGAACATAACAGTATACCTGGGTGTTCAAAGTGATTTGGAATCAGAGAACCAAAGTCTTACTCTCTTCATCCATTCTTGGCAACTGGCTTTTGTTGCATGGGCCAGTTTTCTCCTTCCAGTTTACGTGTTGTAGAATTGCCATCATCTTTGATCACAAGTCCGTGTCTCCCCAGACACACGGTAAACCATATGGCTTGGGAAGGACTCTGGTCTAGGTGTGAGCATAGGACCCAAATGGAATGAGATCACTATTGGGCCAGAGGGCAGGGTCATATATTAATAGCTTCTTCCATGTAATCACATGGAGGGAAGAACAGTTCTGAGAATATCAGTCAGTTTTAGAGGGAGATATCAAATAGTTGGTTTCTTCAGCAGAGGGGATGGTGGGATATTAGGTAGGAAATATGGGTCAGATGTTATAGAAGGAAGAATTCCAAAGTTCTATTCTGTACCAAACTTACTCTGATTCAGACACTATTGTATTACCACATTTAAAATGTCAGAAAGTTAGAAACATTTCATTCATATTCTTGGTAGAAATTTAAAAGTTGCACAAAGATGCCATTTACAGCTTCATCTTAGAATTCCTTATAGTACCAGGTAAACCAGTCCCGCTCCACAGATCTCTAAGGCATCTTTGAATTTGGCTGGAATGCTCCAGATCTGAACAGATACTGTATTCATGAACCCTGGTTGGAGTGGTCAAAGAGGAAGTGCATCAGATAACACCATATTCCCTCCAGCAGTTGTTTGGTCCTCATGCCATAGATGACGGGATTTAAGGTGGCTGGGATGATCAGGTACAGGTCAGATAGAAGCACTCGGGTATGCAAGGGCACTACATCCTGCCCCAGCCAGACCGCATAGATGGATGCCATTCCAGGTAGATGGTACAAAGCCGTAACTCCCACGTGGGAGCCACATGTGCTTAATGCTTTCAACTGAGCATTCTTTGAAGAGAACTCAAATTCTGCCCTGAGAATCAAGACATAGAAGGCAGCAATGAGGGCCACATCAGAGCCCACCATAATAGAGGAACCAATTAGACTGTAGAGACTGCTAGGCATGGGGTCTGTACACACTAACCTGGCCAAAGCTAAGTGCTCACAGTAGGAGTGAAGAACCACATTGGAGCCACAGAAAGGTAGATGACTCACCATCCAACTCAGTGGAGTCATGAATGTGACAGCTCTGATGGTGATGATGAGACTCATTCCCAGCATCACTTGAGGTGTAAGAATTCTCTTGTAGTGCAGGGGCTTGCAGATGGCTACATAGCGGTCAAAAGCCATGGCCAGCAGCAGGCCTGTCTCCACAGCTGTGGCTAAGTGAACAAAGAACATCTGAGTGAAACAAGCATTAAAGCTGATGGAGCTGTCTCCTGTGCAGAAGATGTCACTTGGGTACCCCTGAGGAGGCCATAACCATGTCCACAGCAGCCAGAACACACAGAAAGCAATATATGGGCTCATGTAGAGTAGAATTCATCCAGATTGCAGTCACGATGAGGGTGTTTCCTAACAGGGATATGATGTACCTGGTGCTCAATGAGATAGCCAGTCAAAGATTGTAGTCCTGGGATACCCTCAAGGATGAAGGAGGCAGGGGTTTCCATTGTGTGGTTGTAGGCTGGACCCAGGATCACAGGTGAGACTTCTTGCCTATTGTATAAATAATGTAAGAGAAGAATGCAGTCCATCAAGATTTATTCCCATCTGTGATGATAGGAAAGCAGAGGGATATCTTAGCTTGGTGGTATTCTTAGGATCAAAAAGGGACATCTAATAACGTTATCCTGCTCTACTTTTCATCCCTTTCAGTATTTTTTGCCTTAAAACTTACTGTTCATTGAAGGATTAGCTCGAGGGTTACCTCCATTAGGAAGTCTGTTTTCTTCCTCCCCTATTCCATGTGCAGGCTAAGTTAGTTACCTTTCTCTGAGCTTTCATGCAGTCTGCCATAGTGACCTCCAATGGACTAAATTGACAATTCTAAAACAACCTATGACTTTATGGTATACACTTAAGTGCATGTATATTATTCATGGCCTTATAGCAAAGATATGATTCATAACTGTGGTCTTAAGTCTCTTAAAAGATACTACGTCTCAAGATTGGCCTACTTTATCACTTCCTGTGCCTCTCCTAAAAAAATTTAAAAAGGCTTCCATTATGAGAAGGTGCCATATGCCTAGCCTTAGATACTGTCTCTAGTGACCCATTTTTAACTTCTTGTTAGAAATGTGGCTCCTCCTTGAGTAATGGGGTAGATTAGATTAATGGAATTCTGTGCTCATAATCCCATTTGCTGCAGTAGACATTTTCACTGTTAAGAACTAGACGAGCACTCACCAAGTTCTCTATCCTAATCATGGAACATATATTTGCCCCTTCCTTTTACCTCCTAGAAAGCTTAGCACTTTGACTTCACACCCAGGTGCCAGCAGCAACCATAGTGGGAGTCCTCAGGAGTCTTCTAAAAAGACAACTTTCTGGGATATGATTGCAAACTGTGTTCCTTATGAAA